AGAATATATCAACAGAAAAAGGTGAAATAGAAGGAGCTTTATCACTCTTTTGTTTCTTTAATTCCACCCCAATGAGACATACCTCTACTGAAATCAATATTCAGATGAGGAACTGTTTTTGGATCTAGTACCCTCACTATATGCTATTATCAATCTGTCTGCATATTTTCTCCCTTTGCTGGGCACCAGGGAGCTGAAGATCTACCCTTGATTCCTTAACTTTTTGAAGGTTAATGTTTCTGTTTTCAACTTCTTCATCAAAAGTGGAAGTCTATTTTCCTAATGATAATAATGATTATTATTAATAACTTCAGTTATTCCTCTGCCTCTAACCTGGAGCACTTCCCAAGTCCTTTGGGAGGTTTCCTAGCTCTTTTTCTATCTTGTCCTAAAAGTAAAACTGTCTACTGAAGAGTTGGGAATTCTTTGAACTCAGTGAATCTAATAAAAGCCAGCTCTTTCTCTTTTTAGGGGCTCCTCTAAGTAGGCATCAGCATTCCAGCACAACAAAAGCGCTGTTTGAAGAGGTTGCTAGGAATAACTGACTGAATTATTTATTTTTATTAAATAAGAAAAATAGAATAAATGAAGTAGGTTGTGCTGGATGACATAACAGGCATGGTATTCCCGGAGGCTGATGGAGCACTGGAGGAGCTTTAGTGGGTGACCTCAAGACCCACTCCCACCCCTACTCCCACTTCTGCTTTAATCACAGCATTTATTCTTTTAGGCATTTTACATTTGGGGATCCCATATAAAATATCATTTAAAAATTATGCAAATTAATTTGAAAAGTACTGTTACAAAGGAAAGACTATGGGTTTTGCTCTTCAAGAGAAGCCTTCAATTTCCATTTCTCAACTTCCCTTGCAACCTGACAAAATTGTTTACTCATTAAGAGCTTTGTTTCCTCATTTTTAAAATAGAAGTCTCTATCTTATTGGTGTGAGAATTGGGCATAGACTATCCATGGTTTGTAAACCTTCCCTTCCCTCTTCTAAGTTTATGGCTGACATGGCTAGTTTTTCTTGAGAATGGGAGTGACCTAGAATTTTACGAACACTGTGCTCTAATACATGAGAATTGGCACATGAATTGAGACATATTTATTCTCCCTTTCTTATAGTGGTGCAAGACCTTAAACCAAAACACTAAGCACAGAAGAAGTGTTTAAATAAAATGACTCTGAGATTTATAGAAAAGGGTTGTGTCATGTTACCACTTGGATATATAGCTTATGGGTAATTTTATTATTACCCACTGTGGTTTGTAGCTTTTTAGATATATTGGAACTCCTCTATTTCTTTGTTCTCCCTCAAATAATTTAGCATAAGGAACATGTTAATAAAAATCTCTTCAATGAGTGATATACTAATGAAATAATGGTTAATAATAGCTTTTATTGAGTGCCTACTTTGTGCCAGGCAATGGTCTACTCACTTTATATGGATTAACTCACTTAATTCTCTCAGTGAGGGAGAGTGGTGGTTCAGTGGTAGAATTCTCACCTTCCATGAGGAAAACTCAAGGTTGAGTCCCAGCCAATGCACTTCATGTGCAGTAACTACCAGTCTTTCAGTGGAAACTTGCATGTTGCTATGATGCTGAGCATGATTTGGTGGAGTTTCTAGACTAAGACAGACTAGGAAGAAAGTCCTGAAAATTTTACTTCTGAAAAGTCAGCCAATGAAAACCCTATAGATCACAATAGTTTGATCCAGTTGTACATGGGGTCACTATGAGGGCTGATTTGAAGGCAGCGACAACAGCAACAACAATCCTCTCAATAATCGTTTGAGTAAAAGACAGATCTCATCAAAGAATTGCATTGATTCTGAAGATACTATATGAGGCCTTGGAGTATTTGTGATTCCCTTAAAAGTGGAAATGTGGCTTTTAGTGTTTATATATTAATTTTATTTTAGGAAATTACTTCAGACTTACGGATATACTATTAAAAAACAGCAAACTCTTGTCATTATCAGATCTAACATTTGATATTTTGACCTTTCGGAAGTCATTTCTGTAAGTCAACATGCAGGCCCATGATAAAAGATAATTTTTTTTTTAAACTGTGATTTAAGTGAAAGTTTATAGAACAAATTAACCTAGCATTAAACAATTAATACACAAATTGTTTTGTGACATTGGTTGCCCACCCCGAGATGTGTCAACACTCTTTTCTTCTCCACCCTAGGTTCCCTGTTTCCATTCATCCAGTTTTCCTGTACCTTCCTGCTTTCTCGTCTTTACTTTTGGGCTGGTGTGCCCATTAGTCTCGTACACATGATTGAACTATGAAGCACATCCCTCACGTGTGTTATTGTTGGTCCTATAGACCTGTCTAATCTTTGGCTGAAAGATAAACCTCAGGAGTGACTTCAGTACTGAGTTAAAAGGGCGTCTGGGGGCCATATTCTCAGGGTTTCTCCAGTCTCTGTTAGATCAGCAAGCCTGTTTTTTTTTTTGTGAATTTGAATTTTGTTCTAAATTTTTATCCCCCTCTGTCGGTGACCCTCTATTGTGATCCCTGCCAGAGCAGTTGGTGGTTGATAAATTGCTGTTGCCCCAAGATGCACAAGCATCTATCTTCTTCCCCTAGAAGGTCCTCCTGATAGGGTTGTCAGATAAAATATATGAGGCCAAGTTACATTTAAACCTAGGAGAAATAATGAATGATTTCCAGTTTAAGTACGTTCCATGCAATATTTGGGACATACTTATACTAAAATTATTTGTTGTTTATCTGAAATTCAATTTTAACTGGGTATCCAGTGTTTTTATTTAAAAATTCTGACCATCCTACATCCTTCAGGAACACAGACCTACTCACAATCTAGCAAAAAATGGGTTAAGTCCGGGAATCAGGGGCCCTACAGTTCTTCCTCCAGGACCTAGACCAGCCCAGCATCTGTTGGACTAGTTGGTGATCTTGCTGTATAAGTCATTAAATATTTTCATATAATCTTGGGGCATAGTTCTAGTCAATATCAAATCTATCCACCTTATTTTCTTCTTGCTAAATGTTGATAAGAAATATCCATTACTTACTAATTTTCTTATATTTAGCTTTTAAAGTGTACTCTTTTTTTCTGTTGCTGAGTTTACTTTTACTCAAAAAGTCTTTTTTTTCCCCTAAAGACACTTCAATATCATGCAAATTTATGAGACCAGGACACCATTTCTTGCCAATTCTTTCACAAAGAAATGACAAAAACTCACCTAGAAAGTAACCAATTGCTACATGGTCTATCTTTTTGGAAGAGCTTAGGATCTCTACAATCTTGACAAATTTCTGTGTTTAAGGCATTCATATTGGCTATTAGTACTTTCCATCAAAGTGGTTCTTTACTACTAAAATGAGATATTGCCCAGGTTTTGCCATATGGGTGTAATAGTTAAGCCAAACTAATTGCAAGTGAATTTTGCTTTACCCAGAACATGCATTTCTGAAGTGGTCTGGTAATATATAAATTCTAAAACAAGAATATTTTTTACATTTGCTTCCCAAAGTACATTTGACAGGGTACTAATTATGAGAGAGGATCCCTGGTGGCTCAGTGGTTAAGAGCTCAGCTGCTAACCAAAAGGTCAACGGTTTGAATCCACCAACCGCTCCTTGGAAACCTATGGGGCAGTTCTACTCTTGTCCTATAGGGCCACTATGAGTCAGAATCGACTGGACAGCAGTGGGTAATTATGAGAGAATTATAATTGTTTCTCAGGAAAACACTTTACATAGTTATATGTGCTTGGTGACCCCGTGGAGTCACTATAAGTCGGAATGGCAGCTACCAACAACAACAATGTGTGCTGGGGAAATAGTGGGTTAAAGGCAGATAAACAATTTCCTTTTCAGTTTATTTTATGGAGATTTTAATATATTCATTATGAATCTCCAATGAAGAGTTGTATATATGTAAGTACGTTTGTCTGTGTATGTGTTGCAGTGTGTGTGTGTGTACGTGTGTGTCTACATTTTCAACCTAAGTTTAGCAAATCTTCTCTTCACAAAACTGGGCTTTCGAACATTGTCGCAAATTCCTATTTTGCATGCCAGAAGCTTGATATTAACTCATCTTTGTATTTGTTCTGTGGTAACTCCTAATTTACTCCTCTCCCCCACCCAACACCTGCTGAGGGAAGCTACTAACGTGCTCCTGGCAAAGGTTAAATGGTCAAAAATGTAGATGGAAATGCATATAAGAAATAATTTTCAAAATATTATCCTTAACACACTGCCTAGTTATTTTTATTCTGCTGTAAGAGGTACTTTATCTTTGCCTGAGGTAGAAAAGCTGATAGTTGCTGAGGAAAGTTTTGTCAGCTTAGGTAAATATCTCAAGATTTCTATTCCTGTTTCCTTAAATATAAAATGAGGGTAATGATGCTTGAATGATTTTCTTTATAGAGGACAGTGTCTGTATGGGTGGAGGGTGGGGGAAGACTTGATGAGGGAAAACATGTGAAAATGCTTTTAAAGAAATAAAGCATTATTCAAAAGTGCAATATACCAATGGATCTTGAGTTGATAGTGGCTTCTCCACACTTCAGCTTTTAATTTTCTGATTTTCCAGACTCACTCTCAGTGGTAGTGTTCTATAAAAAAAGATAAAACTGTTCACAGATACTAAAGAGAAAGTTAAAATATTTTCCTTTAATGAAAATGATAATCTCTTGAATTATTTCGTTTGTAAAAATGTGTTTTTATATATGGGTTTCTTGAAGTATGTGGCTCTAGTCTAAAATTTACCAGTCTTTACAAACCAAGTCTCTTCTACAGATGGCCATTGATGGGGCAATGATGGAAACTTCAGCTATATTTCCCCCGGGGTCCATCCAATGTATGTTAATGATGGGAGATTTCAAGTCCATAGCCATGAAATGCCGATATTGTTTTACAGCCACTCAAAGTACAGAAAGGCAGGAAGGCTGATTGAGTTGTTCATGCTAACACATTTTCTATCTTCTCTTCCACCCACCCTTGCCGCCCTACACAGAGAGTGCAGCATCCACACGAGTGTCCCTCCTGTGGAGGCTTTGGCTTTCTTCCATGCTCCGTGTGCCATGGGAGCAAGATGTCAGTATTTCGAAACTGCTTTACAGACTCTTTCAAAGCCCTGAAGTGTACGGCTTGTAATGAGAACGGTCTTCAGCGCTGTAAGAGCTGTGCTGGTTAGTTGGAGCCTCCTTCCGGGAAAAGCCTCACTTTTTTAACCCAAGGGACTAATTTGGTTTATACTTTAAAAAAAAAAAAATCATGTGTATGTATTAATAAATAAATTTTGTTTGTTATAATTGTCTTTGTTTTGAATTTTTGCTGTGACCATTTTTGTTGATTTATTAAATAAATGTTTGCTTAACAACTACCATGTAGCAAGTCCTGTGCTAGACCCTGATTTCTAATTGGAATCAATGGCGTACCCAATATCCTTCCAAGGTATTCAGAGCTTGATTCCATGAATGGGTTTGATTTTCTTAGGAGGGACAACATGTATGTAAAGGTGCCTAATACTATGTTACCCTATTTTCTAGGGTTTGTTAATGCAACTCCTTATATGCCTAACACACTTCCAGCGGTTTCAGTTACGGGAAAAAGAGAGCTCTGGATCGTGGGACGGAATATGATCCTATTTATACTAAGGCAGTAGAATTTATTTTTAAAGCTATAGAATAGTCTTGCAGGTGATGATTTCAGTGATAAATCATTAATATTATCAGATGATGTCTTAGTCATCTAGTGCTGCTATAACAGAAATACCACAACTGGATGACTTTAACAAACAGAAATCTATTCTCTCACAGTCTAGAAGGCTAGTAGTCCAAATTCAGAGTGCCAGCTCCTGGGAATGCTGTCTCTCTCTGTTGATTCTGGAGGAAGGGACATTAATCTTCCTCTGGCCTAGGAGCTTCTCGGCACAGGGACTTCTGGTTCAAAGGACATGTTCCACTTCCAGTGTTTCTTTCTTGGTGGCATGAGGTCCCTCTTCTTTCTCCTCTATTCTCTCTTTTATATCTCAAAAGAGATTGACTGAAAATACAACTTAATCCTGTAGATTGAGCCCTGCCTCATTAATATAACTGCCTCTAATCCTGCCTCATTAACATCATAGAGGTTAGGATTTACAACACATAGGATAATCACATCAGATTATAAAACAGTGGACAACCACACAATGCTGAGAATCATGGCCTAGCCAAACTGATACACATTTTTGGGGACACAATTTAATCCATAACAAATGGACCTGGCATGCAAAAGCTACCAGAAGACTTATTTGAATTTATTTCTTTAAAACTCTGCTTTGTGCTGTTGTCACTGAAAGCCTTTCATAAAGGTAGCTGCTTAGCATCCTCTTGAGCTGGAAGCAAGAACACTACATAGTTTTAACATATAGTAAGCAATATTAGCAGATTCGATAAAAAGATATTTTATTGTACTTATTGGCTAATACCTACCTGCAGGCATGTCTGTCCTCTGAAGTATTTCCTTATAAATTATTTTAAGAAATCACCTTCATAGTATGTGTGATAAGGTGATCAAAACATTTTCACACCTTGATTTTCCAAAAAGCAACAAGTATTTACTGAGTACATTCTAATCAGCCAGACACAGTGTAAAACACGGTTTCTGCTTTCATAGAACTTACACTCTAAGAAGGAAAGCAGTATTAGACAAATATCTATAAGCACAATGAGTCCTATAAATATTACAAAGTGGTACCATGTGCTATGGGAATGCCTAGTAGGAGGACCAACATGGATGATATAAGAAGGAGTAAAACAAAGTTGTGCTGAGCAACTGATATTTAAACTAAGACATGAAGGGTAAGTGGAAACTAGTTAGTTAAAGAACAAGGAGGATAGTGCTTCAGGTGAAAAAACAGCATATGCAGAGGCTCTGAGGTCAGAGCAACCTTGTATATTTAAAGAATTGAAAGAAATCCAGTATGTTGAGTTGCAGTTCTGGTAATAGTGGAGTAGTTGATAACAGACTAAGTAGTCTCCTGCTAATGACACACACACACACACACACACACACACATTCTGAAAATAATAATAAATATAACTGAAGACACTGGAAAGCAACTAAAATCAGAAAGGAACAGAAAGGGATTCAATCAATTGAAAAAGGGAAGCAAACAAAATGAACTCCACATTTATCCAGTTTTTCTTTTGAGAGTACTTCTCAGTTTGCACAGCAGGATACAGGGCATACAGAAAGCCACAGTCTTACTGGATTGAAGAGACAGGTTGGACTTGGAGCAGCCAGAGCATCTGGGATTGAGGGGAAAATTTCAGGAAATAAGGGACCCACAGAGAAAGGAACTTACTTTCTTTTTAAAATTTGTCATTAATTCTAGTCAAATCCTTGGCTGATTCCTAACCTCCACATCCGCGGGGGGCAAAACTCTAAGGAATGCGGAGGAAAGGAGTACCAGAGAAGCAAGTAGTTGAGCAGAGATTTCAGCAGCTGCCCAAGCTGCAGAATCAGAGTTTGGAGTTCAAGTGATAAACACTATGAGTGTTAGCGTTTCCTTGAAATCTCAGACAGGCCCCATCTTTAGTGATCATGACCAAGGAATAAGGATTATGCTGCAGAACTAAAGGGAAAAAAAACTAGACTTGCCCTAAGAAAGACTAAAACCAAACCTCCACAGTATCATCACATTTGTCAGTTGGCTAGAACTGTTGTCTAGAACAAAATTCAACACTCAGTCTTGAAATATAAAGGAACTCCTTAAAAATTAATAAAATAAAATAAACAAATCTTACAATTAACATCATACTTAATGGTAAAATATTGAATGCTTTCTCCCTAAGATCAGGAAAAGTGCATGAATGTTCATTTCCTAGACTTTTTTTCAACATTGTGCTGGAAATTCTAGTCAGTAAAATAAAGCAAGAAAAAGAAATAAAAGATATAAAGATTGGAAAGAAACAAAACTCTATTTACAGAAAACATGATTAAGACATAAAATATCCAAAAGAATTTACAAACCACTGAACTAATAAATAAAGTTAGCAAAATTGTTGGATTCAAGGACATTACACAAAGATTGAAAGTACAATACACTAAAAACTACCGACAAGAAAATAAAATAAAAATAATACAATTTATGACACTATCAGAAGACATCGAGTATGTGGAACATATTTTACAAAATATGTATAAGACATCTATATTGAAAACTAAAATATTTTGCTGAGAAATTATAGAAGACTCAAACACGTGGAGAAATACACTATGTTTATATACTGGAAGACTCAATAAGATGTCTATAGTTTCAATGCAATTTTAATTAAAACCCCACTAGAGTTTTTGTAGAATTTGACCAGTAATTCTAAATTTATATGAGAATACAAATTACCTGGAGTAGCCAAGAATTTGGAACAAGTAGAATAAAGTAAGGATAGACAAATAAATCAATGGAATAGAGTAAAGACTACAGAAATAGAAATACATATTAAGGTCAACTGATTTTCAAGAAAGGCATCAATTCAAGGCAATGGGGAATGAAAAGTCTTTTTAATAGTGTTGAAACAACTTGATTTCCTTATGCAAAAAAAAAACCTTTCCATGTGGAAAATTAAGCCTTTAGATAGTAAAGCTAAATCAATGGTTCTCAACTGTGAACTATTTTGTCCCCCAGGGGACATTTGGAAATGTGTCAAGATGTTATTAGTAATCACAATCTGGGGGAAGAAAAGTGCTCTTTCTATTTGGTGAGTAAAGGCCAGGGTTGCTTTTAAATATCCTATAGTACACAGTTCAAATACCACCTCTCAACAAAGAATTACTAAGTCCAAAATGTCAATAGTACCAAGATTAAGAAACCTTGATATAAAGGTTAAAGCTAAACCAGAAGAATATCTTCACAACCTTGGAGTAGGCAAAGTTTTTATGAAAAAGTCACAAGACACCTAAACATAAAATAATGATAAATTGGACTTAATTAAAATTAAAATATCCTTATCAAAAGACATAGTTCAAGAAATAAAAAGGGAAGCCACAGCTGGGAGAAAATATTTGCTATACAAATATCTGCCAAAGGACTCATATCTAGAATCTATTGTTGTTAGATGCCTTTGAGTCAGTTCTGACTCATTGCAACCCTATGTACAATAGAATGAAATACTGCCTGGTCCTGTGCCTTCCTCACAATCACTGTTATGCGTGAGCCCATTGTTGCAGCCACTATATCAATCCATCTCCTTGAGGGTCTTCCTCTTTTTCACTGACCCTCTACTTTACCAAGCATTGTGTCCTTCTCCAGGGACTGGTTCCTTCTGATAACATGTCCAAAGTACATGACACAAAGTTTCACCATTCTCTCTTCTAAGGAACATTCTGGCTGTACTTTTTCCAAGACAGGTTTGTTCTGAATCTATAAAGAACTCTAAAAAATCAGTAGTAAAAAGACAGTCTATAAAGTAGTGGGCAGTAGACAGTTCACAAAAGAAGACACATGAGTGGCCAAAAAAATACGAAAATACTCAACATCATTAGATATCAGGGAAATGCAAACTAAAAACAATGTGATATTACTACACAATATTTAGAATGGTTAAAATTAAAAAAAAAAAAAGACTGGCAATATCAAGTATTGGTGTGGATGTGGAGCAACTGGAACTCTCGAAAATTGCTAGTAAGAATGTTAAACGGTACGACCACTTTGGAATATCACTGGGAAGTTTCAAAGAAAGGTAAACGTGTACCAACTCTATGATCAACAATTTTTCTCCTAGCTGTTTATTTAGGAGAAATAAATATGTATGTCCACACTGTACAAGAATTTCATGGCAGCTATATTCATAATAGTCAAAAGGAGGAAATGTCTAAAATGTCCATTAATAGGAGAATTGGCAAGAAAGTTGTGATATATTAATACAGGGGAACACTACTTAGCTCCTAAAAAGGAACAAATCATTGATTTAGGATGTTGATTCAAGCCATGATGAATTTCAAAAAATTATGCTAAATCAACTAAGTATGACACAAAGAGCATGTAGTGTATGATAGCATTTACATGAAGTTATAGAACAGGCAAAACTAATCTATAGAATGTTGTCTCATTAGTCATGAGGAGCAGGGGAAAAATCAAATATGATTAGAACTGAGAAAATGGTACAACATATGGCTAGTTGAGAGTTGAATTCCCTTCATTCCAGAAAGAAGGCCCATAAACCATTGCATAAGTGAAGTTTCTTATCACAGTTCCAGTGAAGTTCTGAGATTCTATTAACTAGTAAGGTTATCCAAAAATTTCCTGACCACTCAGGCTCTGGCTCTGTTT